CCTACATGGTACATCCGTCACCCCCCTCCCCTACATGGTACATCCATCACCTCCCTCCCCTACATGGTACATCCATCACCCCCCTCCCCTACATGGTACATCCATCACCTCCCTCCCCTACATGGTACATCCATCACCCCCCTCCCCTACATGGTACATCCATCACCCCCCCCTCCCCTACATGGTACATCCGTCACCCCCCTCCCCTACATGGTACATCCATCACCTCCCTCCCCTACATGGTACATCCGTCACCCCCCCCTCCCCTACATGGTACATCCATCACCCCCCCCCTCCCCTACATCGTACATCCGTCACCCCCCTCCCCTACATGGTACATCCATCACCTCCCTCCCCTACATGGTACATCCATCACCCCCCTCCCCTACATGGTACATCCATCACCTTCCTCCCCTACATGGTACATCCATCACCCCCCTCCCCTACATGGTACATCCATCACCCCCCCCCTCCCCTACATGGTACATCCGTCACCCCCCTCCCCTACATGGTACATCCATCACCTCCCTCCCCTACATGGTACATCCGTCACCCCCCCTCCCCTACATGGTACATCCATCACCCCCCCCTCCCCTACATGGTACATCCGTCACCCCCCTCCCCTACATGGTACATCCATCACCTCCCTCCCCTACATGGTACATCCGTCACCCCCCTCCCCTACATGGTACATCCGTCACCCCCCTCCCCTACATGGTACATCCATCACCCCCCCCCCTCCCCTACATGGTACATCCATCACCTCCCTCCCCTACATGGTACATCCATCACCTCCCTCCCCTACATGGTACATCCGTCACCCCCCTCCCCTACATGGTACATCCATCACCCCCCCCTCCCCTACATGGTACATCCGTCACCCCCCTCCCCTACATGGTACATCCGTCACCCCCCTCCCTACATGGTACATCCATCACCCCCCCCCCCTCCCCTACATGGTACATCCATCACCCCCCTCCCCTACATGATACATCCGTCACCCATACAGAGAACATCCGTCACCCTTATATACAATATTCCTCACCCACACATACAAAGTCACACCAACATACTGCATCCTTCCCCACGTTAAAACAAATATTTATACTAATCCCCATTACAAAAATAATTTACACGAAGAAAGGCTTTCAAATACTTGACATTTTTACAATTTTGTATTCACGTTGAATTCTTTGCATACAACATTTTAAAATTAAAATTCAATATATTGTCAGTGTGTGGACTTAACCCCTTGTGCAGGTGAAGGTATATATATATTTTTTTCTGTATTATGTTGAAATGTATTGTTTTAAAGGATTTTGTATTTGTGTATTGTATTGTCTGTGTATTATTTTGTATACTAGGAAATACACCTTGAGTGTGTGTGTTAGTCCAGAGGTACTGATGTTGGAGGTGGTGGTGTTAGGTACAGTCACTAATGGTACCTCATGAGTGATCTGATGAATGGTACCATGACTTGTCACCACCACTACCACCACCAGCAGTGCCACCACCACCACCACCACCACCACTGTAACATCGGTCGATGTTATTGTAGAATGACTAGGTTGTGGGCAGGAATTGGAGTACCAAACGTCCACTGTTTTTTCTTAGTTTTATTATATATATATATATATATATATATATATATATATATATATATATATATATATATATATATATATATAATATATATATATATATATATATATATATATATCTTCTATCTTCTACACGGGCCACGAACTAGCTTGTAGCGTGTGTAAGAGAGCGCGTGTAGACGCTCTGATGCCCAGGCTGTGTCTGAGGTCTGTGGTCTGCAGCAGAGTAGATTGCATTCAAATCTGCTGACACGTTGTTGATACTTGTTGACCAGACCGCACACTAGAAATTGAAGGGACGACGACGTTTCGGTCCGTCCTGGACCATTAAAGAACACAAGAGAAGTGTTAAGTCTGCAGACACTAACAATGCTCTCTTCTGCCATGTGAGGGATTCTAATCATCCCATTGATTGGTCTTCCTCCAGAATAATCTTTCCTGCCTCTACTCTACACAGACGCCGTCTTGTAGAATCGGCTCTTATTAACAATGTACCCAACATGAACTTGAGTCCTGGCTTTGTTGCTGTGGACTCTTCCCTTTCACAGTATATACTCAAATGCTCTAATCTTTCTAACAAACGTGACTTAACATAAGCTTTCCCCCTTCCTTTTCTTTCATTCTCTTTTTCCTTTCTTTCTCTCTTCTCCCTTTTTCTGCTCATTGTCTTCTACGCTCCCTTGCTATCCTCTTCTTATTCCTATTACCATCTCCTTCGGTGGTTATAATAGGAGCTGCCTCGTATGGGCCAATAGGCCTGCTGCAGTTCTCATTACTACTATCCCCTACACCTGACTTTCCTCCTCAGCTCTCTCTTGCCTATTTAATGCCTGTCCCTACCTGTCCTCATCACAATCGACTTGAGAATGGTCCAGGACGGACCGAAACGTCGTCGTCCCTTCAATTTCTAGTGTGTGGTCTGGTCAACATACTTCAGCCACGTTATTGTGACTCATCGCCTGCATTGTTGATACTTATTAAGTTGTTTAGCTTAAGAGGGTATTAGGTCACCCTATGTGTATGTCCATGGGCGACTAACTGGCGTCCAACACCACCACCAGTGGTGCCACCACCACCACCACCACTAGTAGTGCCCCCACCTCCACCACCACCACCACCACCACCAGTAGTGCCCCCACCTCCACCACCACCACCACCAGTGGTGCCGCCACCACCACCACTAGTAGTGCCCCCCACCTCCACCACCACCACCACCACCACCAGTGGTGCCGCCACCACCACCAGTGGTGCCACCAGTGCCACCACCAGTGGTGCCGCCAGTGCCACCACCAGTGGTGCCACCACCACCACCAGTGGTGCCACCACCACCACCACCACCAGTGGTGCCACCACCACCACCACCTCCTCCACCACCACCACCACCACCACCACCACCAGTGGTGCCACCACCACCACCAGTGGTGCCACCACCACCAGTGGTGCCACCACCACCAGTAGTGCCACCAGTACCACCACCACCACCAGTAGTGGCAATAGGTGCCGTATCTGACCCAGCCAGCACGCCTCCCTCACCACCCCCATCATTGTTGATTTCACTGAAAATCTCTCAAACTTGTTATTTCTCTTTTGACGAGCTTCCCACGTGTTGGTGCCGGCCTTGATAGCGAGGCACCCCTGAGGCACCCCTGAGGCACCCCTGGGGCACCCCTGGGGCACCCCTGGCTCTCACACTCACAGCTCCCTGACAAGAGGGAGCCAGCTTAGCTTAGCTGCCAACACCCACACATCGTGTCAGCAAGGCGGACAGCCCGCCTGCTTTCATACCTCTCACTGTATTTCCCACTTCTATACTTCCCTTCACCTATGCCTCTCCTTCCTCTTTACTTAAAAAAAAAGGAGAACTCTCTGCTCCACCCCTGGGGCACCCCTGCTCCTCCCCTGGGGTAACCCCCTGCTCCTCCCCTGGGGACACCCCCTGCTCCTCCCCTGGGGACACCCCCTGCTCCTCCCCTGGGACACCTCCTGCTCCACCCCTGGGACACCGCCTGCTCCACCCTTGGGACACCCCTGCTCAGAGGGCGGGGTGCTGGCTCGCCCGCTCAGCGCTCTCCCAGGAGGATTGTCCTCTATTTCCTGTAGAAAACGCGTTACTGGATCGTCCACAACGTTATTGTGTTTTGATGGAGTCAAGTTTTAATCTCTCTCTCTCTCTCTCTCTCTCTCTCTCTCTCTCTTTCTCTTTCTTTCTTTCTTTCTCCCCCCCCCCAAGGTGCACACTGATTCAGCTGTAACAAGATGGACTGGTTACAACCTGTCTGCTGTAACACTAACGGCTCACCCCCCCCCCCTGAGTGTGCCTACCAGTTCCTCCATCACAAATGTCGTTTTAGACACCAAACTTCAGCTGGTCGTCCAAATATCTTCATGTTATTATTTCCATTGTTATTAATTCCTGTTATGGGGGAGGAGCAGTCTGCACTTAGGCTTCTCGTGCTCTCGCCTACTACTGACATTCGCCAGGAGTGAGGCCACAACAGTTCGCTGACTCCCTGGTGCCTGCTTATGGCTGGGGTAAACAGAGGCATTGTGAAGGATAGTCGATCAAATGTCTATGTTTTGACTCGAATAACACAAAATTGCAGCCATATATAATACAGTGAAAGCTTTATCGTTTCAGAAGAAATTTTTGTCGAAAATTCATTATTTCACGAAATTCGGCTTGTTAAGCTGCTCTGGCTATATATATATATATATATATATATATATATATATATATATATATATATATATATATATATATATATATATATATATATATATATATATATATAGCCAGAACGCATTACTTGGAACATCATGCAAGGCTGGAGTCGCTTATTCATGTTGTCATGGAAATTATATATTTTTGAAAATGCTTCTTGTGGAATGATAAAGCTTACCATTATATATGTTTTATAGTTACAACATATATAATGGTAAGTTTACCATTAGTATATATATGTTATAGTTTAAACTAACGTAGAAATCTATTCCAACCTAATCTATCCTAACTTATTCTATCCTAACATAACTAAGTCAGTAATTCCTCTTCTTATTGTAATATAAAAACATCAATTAAAATAAACCAGTTATAAATTTGGCTTGGAAAATATTGAAAATCACTCGGCCTATTAGGCAAATTAAGCTTTTAATTAAGGTTTCTATTTTCAGGATTTGTTTCCTGTCACCTCACCCAAAAACTTTTGTATCCTATGTGTAGAGCATTCTCTTTTAGGTTTATATATATAAATATAAAACAAAAGAATGTTCCTTTGCAAATGATAAGAGTATTTTGTGTGTTATGACCTCATCATGACCTCATTTGTGAACTCTGACCCCTCGTATTTTGTTTTTGTTTTATATAATTTATATAATTTGTATTTTTGTTTACTTTTTCAGGCGGGAGTGAGAGTTCTAACCTCCTGCGCATGCGCAACTCCCTACTGGGTCAGTCCGCCCCGTCGTTATCTAACTCTCTGGTGAGTACCCTTTTTTGTGTAATGTTTTGCTGGGGTATTAAATCCTTCGGGGGGTCTGAGGCCTTTGACAGCCTCAATAAATGTGGCTAATGTCAGTCGCTAAGTGTGGCTAATGTCAGTCGCTAAGTGTGGCTAATGTCAGTTTGCCTTTGGCGGCGGAACAGTGTTGATGACTCGTTAGGTAGACGGGTCATGAACACCGGACAGTGAGGTTATGTCCGCTGTGTTTAACGGCTGAGTTCTTACATCTCGGGTATAATGGGATTTGGTTCGTAACGCTGCTGTGTGTTGGATAATGTTCCAGGTCATTTCTCCCTGGAATCACTCGCTTCCAGTTGGGCTTTTCTCCCCCAGTGCTGATATTTCCCCTCTTCTTCTTCTTCTTCTTCTGGAACCTGGATACGTACCATAGCGTGCGGTGAGGCGGGATGTTCTTTCTTAATTACCTGAGTGTGGGGTAAGGCAGGACATTTTGAACTCGCTCACAGGGTTATAAACCCATGGAAACGCTTGCCAAAAATCTGCTGAACTCTAAACAGCTTGAAAAAAATCATCAGGAAAAATTCGGGGGGACCTTTGACAAGACGCTGGCTTTCAGTCCTCGTCAAGGCCACTAGTATTAGTGGCTCTGGTAAATTATTTAATGAGTGTTGAGGGAGGTGGCCGACTCCAAAGCAAGTAACGTAGTATAGGGTAAATCATCCGTTCTCTTCAGTCGCCAGGCGCTACAGAGAAAATGGTGCCCAGGGCGATGGCACACTCTGGTATGTGTGTTCCTGTTTGCACCCGTCGACCCTTTCTCATTTTATCAAGCAAAACAGTTGATTACATACATGGGTATGGAACTGGAATATGAAGCATATCAGCAACCTTTGCTTATATAGAGAACAGCAGCTTCCTTTAGCGATTCACCACCCTTTTATCAAAGTATAAGAAAGTGAACTTTCTAGTTCCTGAACCCATCATGTGCCTCTGTAACCTTTCCCACCACCGCCCACAGGATGAGAAGGAGTACAATTAATGGCTAAACTGTGCATGGTGGCCTGACAGCTGAGTGGACAGCGCTTTGGATTCGTAGTCCTGAGGTTCCGGGTTCGATCCCCGGCGGAGGCGGAAACAAATGGGCAGAGTTTCTTTCACCCAGCTGCACCTGTTCACATAGCAGTAAATAGGTACCTGGGAGTTAGACAGCTGCTACGGGCTGCTTCCTGTAGAAGGGGGGGGGTTGTAACAAAAAAAAAGCCTGATCGAGGACCGGACCGCGGGGACGCTAAGCCCCGAAATCATCTCAAGATAACCTGAAGATAAGGTTGGGTGCACTATGACTAAACTGAAGGCTTCAAGGCATAATAGTGTGCTCAAGTTAGGCCCATTCTACACATTGCCTCACATTCTGTTTGTAACTCATTTTGAATATATGTACTTTTACCAGAATAATCATTATTATTATTATTATTATTATTATTATTATTATTATTATCATTATTATTTTATTATTATTATAGATTGTGTTCGGTTAGATGAGGCTTGATTAGATTAGATTTGATTAAGTTAGGATACATAGGGTTGGTTAGGTTAGGTTACATAGGCCTGGTTAGGTTATATAGGGTTAATTAGGTTAAATTACATTAGGTTTGGTTAGATTAGGTTACGTTACGTTTTGTTTGACGTTTAGAACGTTAAGATATTCCTGTTTTCCTCCCAGAATTGTAGGTGGATTTTTGTGTGTCAAGTAGTGGTGTGATAACCTTGCAGGGGTGATAACCTTGCAGAGGTGATAACCCTTGCAGGGGTGATAACCCTTGCAGGGATGATAACCCTTGCAGGGGTGATAACCCTTGCATGGGTGATAACCCTTGCAGGGGTGATAACCTTGCAGGGGTGATAACCTTGCAAGGGATGATAACCTTACAAGGGTGATAATCCTTGCAGGGGTGATAACCCGTGCTGGGGTGATAACCCTTGCAGGGGTGATAACCCTTGCAGGGGTGATAACCCTTGCAGGGGTGATAATTTTGCAAGGGTGATAATCCTTGCAAGGGATGATAACCCTTGCAGGGGTGATAACCCTTGCAGGGGTGATAACCTTGCAGGGGTGATAACCTTGCAGGGAGTGATAACCTTGCAGGGAGTGATAACCTTGCAGGGGTGATATATTACACCCCTGTAACCCCATTATCAATACATTACAGTCCACAGTGCTCCTCATCTTTAGTTTGTTTAGTATTTGTGTACAAGAGTTCCCTAATAGCCTCGTGTGTGGGGGAGGCTGGTGACCCCAGTAGTGGGGGAGGCTGGTGACCCCAGTAGTGGGGGAGGCTGGTGACCCCAGTAGTGGGGGAGGCTGGTGACCCCAGTAGTGGGGGAGGCTGGTGACCCCAGTAGTGGGGGAGGCTGGTGACCCCAGTAGTGGGGGACGCTGGTGACCCCAGTAGTGGGGGAGGCTGGTGACCCCAGTAGTGGGGGAGGCTGGTGACCCCAGTAGTGGGGGAGGCTGGTGACCCCAGTAGTGGGGGAGGCTGGTGACCCCAGTAGTGGGGGAGGCTGGTGACCCCAGTAGTGGGGGAGGCTGGTGACCCCAGTAGTGGGGGAGGCTGGTGACCCCAGTAGTGGGGAGGCAGGCTGGTGACCCCAGTAGTGGGGGAGGCAGGCTGGTGACCCCAGCAGTGGGGGAGGCAGGCTGGTGACCCCAGCAGTGGGGGAGGCAGGTGACCCCAGTAGTGGGGGAGGCTGGTGACCAAAGTAGTGGGGGAGGCTGGTGACCCCAGTAGTGGGGGAGGCAGGATGGTGACCCCAGTAGTGGGGGAGGCTGGTGACCCCAGTAGTGGGGGAGGCAGGATGGTGACCCCAGCAGTGGGGGAGGCTGGCTGGTGACCCCAGCAGTGGGGAAGGCTGGCTGGTGACCCCAGCAGTGGGGGAGGCTGGCTGGTGACCCCAGCAGTGGGGGAGGCTGGCTGGTGACCCCAGCAGTGGGGGAGGCTGGCTGGTGACCCCAGCAGTGGGGGAGGCAGGCTGGTGACCCCAGCAGTGGGGGAGGCAGGCTGGTGACCCCAGCAGTGGGGGAGGCAGGCTGGTGACCCCAGTAGTGGGGGAGGCAGGCTGGTGACCCCCAGTAGTGGGGGAGGCAGGCTGATGACCCCAGCAGTGGGGGAGGCAGGCTGGTGACCCCAGCAGTGGGGGAGGCAGGCTGGTGACCCCAGTAGTGGGGAGGCAGGCTGGTGACCCCAGTAGTGGGGGAGGCAGGCTGGTGACCCCAGCAGTGGGGGAGGCAGGCTGGTGACCCCAGCAGTGGGGGAGGCAGGCTGGTGACCCCAGCAGTGGGGGAGGCAGGCTGGTGACCCCAGCAGTGGGGGAGGCAGGCCAGTGACCCCAGCAGTGGGGGAGGCAGGCCAGTGACCCCAGCAGTGGGGGAGGCAGGCCAGTGACCCCAGCAGTGGGGGAGGCAGGCCAGTGACCCCAGCAGTGGGGGAGGCAGGCTGGTGACCCCAGCAGTGGGGGAGGCAGGCTGGTGACCCCAGTAGTGGGGAGGCTGGTGACCCCAGTAGTGGGGGAGGCAGGCTGGTGACCCCCAGTAGGTGGGGGAGGCAGGCTGGTGACCCCAGTAGTGGGGGGGGTGAGGCAGGCTGGTGACCCCCCAGTGGGGGGAGGCTGGTGACCCCAGCAGTAGGGGAGGCAGGCTGGTGACCAGGCAGCAGTGGGGAGGGGAGGCAGGCTGGTGACCCCAGCAGTAGGGGAGGCAGGCTGGTGACCCCAGTAGTGGGGGAGGCTGGTGACCCCAGCAGTGGGGGAGGCAGGCTGGTGACCCCAGCAGTAGGGGAGGCAGGCTGGTGACCCCAGCAGTAGGGGAGGCAGGCTGGTGACCCCAGCAGTAGGGGAGGCAGCTGGTGACCCCAGCAGTAGGGGAGGCAGGCTGGTGACCCCAGCAGTAGGGGAGGCAGGCTGGTGACCCCAGCATTAGGGGGAGGGTGACAGGCTGGTGGAGGCAGCCCCCCAGCAGTAGGGGAGGCAGGCTGGTGACCCCAGCAGTAGGGGAGGCAGGCTGGTGACCCCAGCAGTAGGGGAGGCAGGCTGGTGACCCCAGCAGTAGGGGAGGCAGGCTGGTGACCCCA